CCTTGAGAGACGAAGGGATGAAAAAAAAATTATTAAGGGAAAAAATAAAAAAACAGCGCTTATCCGTGGTCGTGCAGCGCCAATCCAAACCTAAATAGTGAAGAATGAATTTTTTTGGTTTGAAAAAAAACCAAAATTTAAGAAAATTTTCGGTTTGAAAAAAATTTCATCATTTTACCAGAATAGATCGGGCGCAGCATGCAGCACGTGTTTCATGATACGAATTATTCATTCATGCATGTTAAAAGCTATCAATTGGACTGGATTAAGGAAGGTAAACAACTTAAAAAAATCAAAATAATTTTTATAAGCAAAAAGTCCGTTGATATAAAAAGGTTATAATAATAATAATTTTTTTTTACCGTAGTTGTTCTTTTATATGACTCATTAATCCATCCATGTTACATCATAGTAGACTCTTAATAGCTGTAGATATTAATTCTACTAAAATTATCTAAAATTATAAAAGAATTCGAATTATTACTATTTTTATACTTTTATAAAAACACCGGTTAACTCATTAAAAATCTTACATGAAAATATAGCCATATAATAAAAGAGAATTTTTTTTAAAAAAATAATAAATATTTATTTATGTATTCACTTGCAAAAAATTAATACTTTTTCATTTTTTTCATTTGTGTATACATTCGTAATATTTGAAAATTAATAAATACATCAATTTAAAATAATTATACCAATATTTTAAATCTTTAGACAATTAATTAATTAATAGTACATGAAATCATGAATTCTTTCATAGTACAAGTGTATAAATTAGCTAAAAAAACAAAATAACTTATTAATGAATTAATTTTTTATATGATTAACATTTACGCGAAAACGTGCATTAATGTAGTAATCTGGAAAAATTTATGTCATACAGTAGTACAAATTTTATTACAACATCTTTTAGTAAGTATAGTTTGTTCTTTCTTCATCTATTGCAATTCATATGAATTCAATTCTAATTCTGTTCAATGTCATGATTGTAACCATAATTGTTCTTGTAAAAATCCCGCAGTTTACGATCCTTGAATCATAGTCTTTTGTAGGAGCTGGAACCATTCAAAAAAACTTTAATCGGCTAATAACTAGTTAACCAAGAGGCTTAATTACTGGTTAAATAATTTAATTTTTTTGGCTATAAATTGTATCTATTTGATGACTCTACTCTCATATTTAGTTATCCTATTAATTTCGTTAATCAGAAATAAAAAATCATTCAACCTTCGAGAACACATGACTGCAGTTGCATACTTATTACTATGGATGCATTATATAATATTATATATATAACTCTGACCAGAATTATGGTCAAATAATTTCAACTTGTTAACCAATTTTTTGAGATACCTTACCTTAACCAGATCAACCTGTATTTAAGATGATCACGTAATACAGGGTTGTCACGTTTTATTTGTTAAATTTTAGGCCGATCCTGTAAATCGGCGAGGTTTTATTAATAGTGTTTCACATTAATTACATTAATTAAAAAAATAGTACACAATTTTTTCTATACTAAAGATTAGAAGAAATAATTTTTTAATGAAATTTTAAATAAAATACATGAAACGTATATTGGACTTGCAAATTTTATTCCATCACATTTTGATACTACGCCACAATATTAGTAATGATATCATTGAAATAATGATGTGCAACTGTTTGGTTGCACAAATCATACTAAATAAGTTTATTACGCTTGTTACAATGTAAATTTACGCCCGCGTTACTATTTTTTTTTTTAAAAAAAATGTAAATTTACGCCAACTTGCAGTTGTACAAACTTATACTATTTAAACGAAAATATTATTCCTAAAAATCTTACGCCGGTAAAGGTTTAATTCTTTTGCAAACAAAAAAAAAAAATATGGAAGGAAGTTCAAGTCAGGTGAATTATAATTTTAAGTTATATTAAATATTTTAATTAATTAAAAATTGGGTTTATAATATTTTTATAAATATGTAGAGCGGAAGTTCTTCTAGTAATACTATTCCAGAAATTCACGACTCTGTTTTTTCAAATAATACGGCTTCGTATGAGAACTTCTTCAACAATAGTATTCTTTTAAAATTAGAAGAGGATGGATTTACAACTCCCGATGGAAAGGCAAAAGAACTTATTAAAGAATTGACCGACATAAAATATTTATATGCATTAAAATTACTTTTTGAAAATTTACAAAATGAATTTTCACCTCAAATTCTTCGAGACACTTTATTTGCCTTGGCGGATCCGACCCCATTCGATTTTTATGCAAAACAAAGT